TCCCCGTTAAAGCAGCCTTACCTTATACTGACACACTTTCTGACACTTTCCTGAATTACTCTTTCATGTATTTCTAATTCCATATCTTTATTACTATAACTTATTCCTCAGTAGTTTCCCAGAATCATACAGATCCAAATTGTTCAGCCTATGAAACTATCTTTTAGCTCACGCAAACAACATCCTCAAAGGCCAATAATGTCCTCTCCATAGGATCTTTCCAAACTACCTCTGATTTCGTTTCTGTCCCATGTCCACCATGAGAGGTGAATGCTTCACTTCTGCTCTTTGAAAGAGTTCGCCATTTTCTGTCATTCCCCTTCTGTCTCTTTTCACACCCCACAATCTGATCAAAACACCCCACAATCTGATCAAAATGCAGGCACCAATTCAATGCTGTCTAGCTGTTCACACCCTCTTATTGTGACATATGCATTGGTGTAACTACAAGAATGTACACAGATACTCATCTGAACAATACCTTACTAACCTGCATTGAAATACACACCCTATTGCTGAGGAAGCTGGGTGCTGCTCCTTTTGATGATGATGTAATGATCAGCATTTTCTATCTGAGATATGAATGGGAATTACAGGAAGTACTCCTGTCTAAACACTGAGGCTGCGTCTAGACTGGCATGATTTTGTGCAAATACTTTTAACGGAAAAGTTTTTCCATAAAAAGTATTTGTGCAAGAGAGCGTTTATACTGGCATGTGCCTTTGCGCAAAAGATTTGCTTTTGTGTAAAAGCATCCATGCCAGTGTAGATGCTCTCTTGCGCAAGAAAGCTCCGATGGCCATTTTAGCCATCGGGCTTTCTTGCGCAAGAAATTAATGTTGCTGTCTACACTGGCCCTCTTGCACAAGAATACCTGCGCAAGAGGCCTTATCCCTGAGCAGGAGCGTCAGAGTATTTGTGCAAGAATCACTGATTTTGTACATTACAAAGTCAGTGTTCTTGTGCAAATACTTGTGGCCAGTGTAGACAGGCGGCGAGATTTTGCGCAAAATCAGGCCAGTCTAGACGCAGCCTGAGTATATTACCATCAAATGTGTCCAGCTTATGCTGCTCCAGAAACAAAACTAGAGACCCAAATATAAACCTGGCCTAATACATTTAGAAATGCTGATATACACTTCTTTATATCAACAAAGCTAAAACGAGAATTGATGTCAATGGGTTTTTTTTTAACAAACACTTATAGTTCAAGAACACCCCAAAATGAAATTTTGTAAACAAGATGTCATGGATCTCTGCTTACTGACATTCGCTAATTTCTATGTCAAATATGATTAATGTACAAATAAGGAGATTCCCCCCACCCCATGCCTGTGTTTTTACACTACATTCACCACCATTGTATCTAAGTGCCCTAAATTGCTGAGTATGATCATCTTCCATGGGAGTTGGGGACCCACATGTGGCTGATTAAGTGCCTTACTGTCAGCATCACAAACTCACCTTAGGAACTGGCTGTCAATCTATGCCCCCTTCTGTATTTGGACCTCATCAGCTGAAGGGTAATTTATTAATTCTCAGACACCTGCATAGCCCCACTGAAACTCCACTGGCATCAGTACATGCGTTTGCACAGGCAGAAATTACTGGACCTGTCACTAAAGTTTAGTACATAATTGTGTTGATAATACATGAGAAGGACTAGAACTGAAGTTCCTGGCTCTGCAGTACTAGTAAGAGTAATTAATACTAGAAAAAACTGCTATAAATTCTTCATAGCAGGAACTGCCTTTATTTTGTCTCTTTCACACACTCTAAATAATAATGGCTCAAATCCTGCAAACACTTATGCACATTTGATTACTCATACTGAACATCATGGGACTACTCAGGTAGACAGAACTGTTCACATGAATAAGTGTCTGTAGGCTCAGAAGTGCTTGTAAGATCAACAGCTGATACGACTGAATATACAGGAAAAGCTCTGTTGAATAAGGTGTCATTTTACTCAGTCATTTTTTCAGAGAACTGTACAGTGTCACAATTTAAAGTCTATATAAATTTATGCCTCAAGAATGTACAACTTCATTTGCAATTTAGGAATGTGTACAATTGAGTCACATCACATCCTGGCCTAATTTATTACTCCCAACTTAATTCCAACATCCATATATTGTACTAACCCATACACACAGACTTCTGTTCCAGACTCACTTTCAGCCTGTTGATTTGCCATTCCAAAATAATTAAACCACCACTCCACCAGAGACACCCATTGCAAATATAAGAGGAATGTAGATTAAAAGTTATCTGAACTAAGCACTCATGCATCAAATTCAATGTCCATTTTTGTATGTGTTCCAGGACCAATGCTAATAATTTTGTCAAATGAAGAAATTGAACTGTTAAAATTTCAGTCACTCGCTTTTGAGTTTTTAAAAGCCAAATAAAATAAAGAATAAGGCAAAACAATAATGTAGTATGTGAACAATGGCCAAACCATGTTTGCAAAATCAATGTAGTAAGGAAGTTTCAAATCAAAGCCATTGTCCTGGTCCCTACAAAAAAAGGAGGGCATACATGGGTGGAAGGGGAGAAAATGAGTGTGCATATGCACCTGTCTACAGACATCTTGACATCCAGAAGAGGTTAAAGTTGTCTCTTGCTGGCCACCAAAAACTTAAACACCAGAATCAATAGCCACTTTAGAAAATGTTGGCCTAATTAGCTAATGGTGTGCTGTGCTGAGATCATTTGAATTCTTTATAAAGGACCTTACTGGGCTTGATTCTGTTCAGTCTTCTATTAAACTTATTTTGCGAATTTTAGATTTGTCATTGATCTGAAAAGACTTCTGAACTTAAATCACCTAACAGAAAAGATAAGAACACAAGCATGCCATACCGGGTGCGACCACCGGTCCATCTGCCTGCAGCCAATACCAGGAAAGATAGGAGAGATAAAGGGGATTAAGAAGAGATGATTGGATGGAATAAAATCCTCAACTCCCTGATCCAGGTATAGAGCTCTCAGAGGTGTCACAGGAAACAGGAAGGGAAGGGTGCACATTCTTATCCCTCTGCAGCACTGACTGGGAAGGGACATCGGCGCAGACGGCCCTAGCCTCTCCTGAACACTGGAATAAAATTTCCCCAGCCAGCATGGAGTCCTGCCGGCTCCGCGGCGCAGAGCTGAGCGCACAGCCAGGGCCACGCTATGGTTTGTGCTACACGGAAACTGATGCCAAGAGCAGGAGACCAGAGAATCTCTTCTCTCTGGGCC